ATAAGCCATCAAAATTGTCTTTCAAATCCAGATCCTGTGAAAAAAATACAAATTTTTTTTACAAACAATATACAGTTCACATAAATCCACCAAAACCTTGCAACAATAATTCAGTTCTCTCAAATGCACAAATGGATTCAAACAAGTGACCTTGGACGTAGATGGCGCTGTTTTTTTATATATATATATATTTCTCCTTGTACTTTGTGACCATTTTCTTTCCCTCCGGGGATTGTGTAAGAGTCAATAAGTAAATAAATAAAAATAAATAAATAAGTGACAAGGTGGACTACTGTATATTGAAAGATGGCGGCCCGCCGTGTTTGATCGCAAATTATGAAAGATCGTCACGATATTAACGTAGCTAGTTCACGTCATTTAAAAATTGCAGCTAGATAAACACCGAGTTACACAAAGTTATTATTTTTGTAAACAATAACTGGTAAAAAAGATACAAACGAGAGCGCCAGTGATCAAATACAATTGCACTAATACATAGACGGTGCGCGACCACCAGCTACGGGCAACAAACAAATTATCTTCGTAGATTCGCAACGATACAATTCCCGAAATTTCATATATCGTTGCTTACAAATATATCATCTTATATTTTAGTCCTGCGTACACGACTGTATCCGGGGGGGGGGGGGTAGACCATAACACAGACCAGGGAGCTGCTCCCTGCACAGACCGACGATCGCCCGACTCAGTCATTTTGGAGGTGCATAGCAAAAATTAACTTTTAGCGTCTTCACAATAAAAAGACTGGGATCAATCGACATAAACTACTATTTTACGGTTTAAATGACTATTCCATGTTGTCACGAGGCAATATTTCGTTTACAAATGATATTCTACACTACCGATGACGTAAAATTCTGGCTAATCTCTCAAAATGGCGGACGTACCTCCTCAGACAGGGCATTTTGAATGAAGTTATTCAGTTTTCTCTCGTAATGGCACTCAAAATCGTAATCACGTGATACTGTTGGATCAATGATTTTTTTATTGTAATAATCAAACCAGAACAATTATCTTGAATACGTCCAAAAACAGTCATTTTCCAATGCATGGTCGCTATTGTGACGATCGAATACAAAACAACCGTGACTGCATGCGTAGGGCAGTGGCGAAGATGCATTGTCCATTAGTTAGCCCCGATCATAGTACCTTCCATGCCCCGATCAACATAGCATTATATGTAGGGCTACTTATATTTCAGTTAAACGCAAGAAAATATTTTTTTAGCCAACACAAATTGAAATAGATAACTGGCTTGAAGGAGCTTGAATGACAAACGAACAGGCAAACATATCATTGCAGGAAGC